TATATTTCTCTAATATTTTGAACGAATAACACCGCAGTGGCGCGTCTCGTTGGCTAGACTAACAAAACATTAAAATGCAACGTCACTTACATCATTACCACCGCATCTCGCGCTCCACTGATGACGCTCCCTGACGCACACCTAACATTCGATTGTACCATTTTTGCATTCAAATGCAAATGTTTTATTTTAAATTCGACTAATATTTTATATTTAAATTCGAATAACATTTTTTAAATTCACAATCTCCTCATCACAGGCAGGCACAGCACTCAATTCAGCATGTGTTCGTGTTTGTGTGTGCTGTCTGCGTCACTCAGAGCACGTGCCTATATCGAAATTTTTTTATATCGTTATCGAAGAAGGTGTACCGTCGATAAATATCGATACCGTTTTATCACCCAGGCCTAATATACCGTATTGGCCCAAATATAAGACGACCCCCCTTTTTCCAGATGTACCTTTTGAAAAAAGGCTTTTTAAACCCAAATGTGCACGCAAAGAAAGAAGGCGTGGTTTCAGTAACCGCAGTTAGTGTTGAAGCAGCATGTCAGGGAGACGCTGTGTGTTTCTAGGCGAAAGCAAAAGCACTTTATTTGGCCTTCCGGAAGTAGATGCATTTAGGAATCTTTAAGATTACTTACAACAGAACAGCAATGCATTTTATGGACGACCGTTTCGTGAACCTAGGAGAGGAGGTAATTCTGACTTTGCTATGACAATCTGGCTTCTGAATCAGCTACTGTTTTGTTATTAGTTTAAGTATTTGCTATTGACTGTTCAAATGCGGAGTTTTGCGCAGTGGAGTTTTGTGCATCGTGTGTGTGTGTGTGTGTGTGAGAGAGAGAGAGGGAGAGACAGGGTCACATCACAGTAGAGTCAGCTGTCTTAACCGTGGCTTGTGTACTGCAAACACATACCAGCTTCCTCACTGTGTCTGTCACGCGACTCTGTTGTCCTTTCGGGCTTGAACTGATGGTAAAACTAATGACATTATTAACTGTCTTGATATTTACTTTGAAAGCTGAAGCTCGTGATTATGGTAAGGGGCGTTACATTTCCGACGTTTTGCTTGCGGTGTTCGGCCAATCACAGTGCACTGGGTCAGCTGGCCAATCAGAGCGGACTGCGCTTGTCAAAGGAGGGGGCTTTGTAGAAAACGAAGCGTTTGAGAGAGGCGGGGCATAGAGGACCTACAATAATGTACAGTATTTGAAAAATAATGTGTTTTTTGAACATTAAAGCATGTCAACATATTCTGTTACACCAAATACACAAAATAATGATCTTTAAAAAAGCATCATATGACCCCTTTAATAAAAGTTAACATAGCACAATTCTTATTGTGATTAATGGACGGGAAGTGTGCTACAAATAATATGAAGTTCATTAACAGACATATAGACAAAAGATCTTGATAACAATAAGCCATATTAGTATTGATTATAAACGAGAATTGTTAACTATGTTGTTAATGTCCACACAGCTGACAGCTTTACCTGTTGTAGTTTGTTAAAGCTGTGCACGAAATAAACCCTGCTTTTCTGCACTTTTATTTCACACGTCTCTGTCATTTTCAATCTCTCTCATGCAACACAACTGGAGATGAGGACTGTTTGAAAGCCTTTTTTCCACTAAAACTTTGACACACATCACCTCAGTTTATTACATCAACACAACAATCGCAGAACAATCAGGAAAAAAGGCATTACATGCAAATTCTTAGATCATAACGTAAATGTATATAGTCACCATTGGCGACCTCAGCAAAAACTACGACCTCGCAAAAAACGACCTCGCAAATGTTTTAGTCCGAGTCTGGAGCCCTGGTCTATATTCTGTAGTTTATAAATCAGTGTAGTCTAATGTTTAGTACAAGTAATGGGTAAAATGGGTGATTTGTCAAACTTTCGAAAAGGGCAAATCATGAAAGTTTGTTTTGCAGGAGCATCTTTAACCTCAACAGCCCAATTGTTTGGTGTTTTAAGAACAACAGTCTTTATAATTATTATGACTATGTACACAAAACATGGCGAGATTCATCAAAGAAGAAGAATAGTGCACAAAAACCGAAAGTGAATGATGTGAGGGACCGTCAAACACTAAGAAGGATTGTGTTCAAACAATACACATTTACTGCAGTAAAGTGACAGCTATCCTCAATATTCACTTTAAGACCCTGTTTCCACAAAACCCAACCGCAGAGAACTTCACAAAGCCAACATCTGTGAAGGAGCTGCAATTGCTAAAAATTTAATCACAGACACCAATGCTGATTCATTGGTGAATTCACACTGTGCATTCAACTGGAGACTATTCAAAAGTTGTATAAATCCAGGCCCGGCTCCAGAATCAAATCACTGAGGGTGCTTCTTAAATTAGTGAGGGTGCATGCATGCATACATATATATTAGTGGCGTCCGTTGCTATGGCGCAAAGAGCGCTTCGTTCATAATCGCACAAAAAAAGCTGTCACTCCTCTTAGCTCATCACGTTCTCACAAAGATACGTTATTATCATTAAAGTTCTCTACGCTGCACAACGGATCTCTTATTTACATTGCATCAACACTTTGTTACAATGAGATGATTCCTGCTGAACACAATACCTAAAAAAACCTCCGACGATTTGAGCGGTGAGTGGATTCTAACTTAAACGCCTCTGATTCAAGAAATCAACAGATATGTCTGTGATTAGCTACATTGCTCAACGCTGCAAAAACACGTTGAAACCGAAATCGATCTCCAGAGCGCAAACTATAACGCACTGGATAGTTTGCCAAATCTGCAATAAAATGCCATTAATACAGTTTTAACTGAGGGTGCTTTTGATTTTATTTGAGGGTGCTTAGCACCCTCTAGCACCCCCGTTGAACCGGGCCTGTATAAATCTATTCTAAAAAGGTTAGAAGTTGTATTAAAGGCAATGGTGGTAAACACCTTAATAAAGAAACAGGTGTTCACATTATTTTGTCCGACTCTTGCATATATATTTTCAGCGAGTATCTAATTTCAGTCAGCTGTCTGTTAACTCTAGTGTTGTTTCCTCTCGATTGACATTTCTCTTTCGTATGTCATTCCTCCACAGGTGTTTAAACCAAGAACTCCGCCTGAGGCAATAGCCCTGTGCTCTCGGCTGTTAGAGTACACACCAGTGACACGACTGTCTCCGCTCCAGGCCTGCGCTCATGCCTTCTTTGACGAGCTGCGCCAACCTGGCACCCGTCTGCCCAGCGGTCGAGAGTTGCCTCCGCTTTTCAACTTCACCACCACAGGTGAGTCACAGGAGCCTTTCATGCGTATCCTTTGCAACAAACTTCTCACTGATTGCATACAGGTGTCATCCAAGTAACGTCTCAACGTGTCATCTCAGATTTCAGATTTCTGTAGGATTAGTGTCAGTTTTAGCCTGACGTTATTCAGACTCAGAACAAGGATCCAGATCAGTATTTAATTGTAAATCCAGCTGTGAGAATCATTAAATGTTGAGGAGACATGAGAAGTCCCTGCCCAGTGCACCAGACCATTTATTAAAACTAGCCTGTTAAGAGCTGAAGCAGTCTCACATTAAGATATAACCACCCGCATTTATGTATTATATCAACACCTTTTTCTCACTTTGACCTGTCCTGATAGAAGACCTTATAGACAGCAGTTCGTAGATGTTAGCCAGTTATTCATTTACATATGCTGCCATTCAAAAGTTTGGGGTCTAATTTATTTTTTAAATGAAATGAAATAAATGCTTTTCTCTTATCTAATCCTGAAAAAATGTATCACTGTTTCTACAAAAATATGAAGCGGCACAACTGTTGTCAATATTGATACTAATATTAAATGTCTCTTGAGCCGAAAATCGCAATATTGGAATGATTTCTGAAGGATCATGTGACACTAAAAACTGGAGTAATGCTGATGCTACAAATTTAGTTAATTAAAAATAAAAAAATGAATGTTCAAAATGTAAGTTATTTTAAATTGTAATAATATTTCACAATATTACCATTTTACAGATGTGTAAAAAAAAGTGTAGCCTTGATGAGCATAAAAGACATCTTTCAAAAACATTAAAAAAATCCTATTGACCCCAAACTTTTAAAGGTAAAAAGATAAGTTATCTGTCATCATTTACTCACCATGATGTTTGTGTGTATGATGTTCTTCAATGCAGCACAAGATGTTTATCACTGAATAGTGATTTAAATTTCAAATATCGTATGATTTCAGAAGACTTCAGAAGGAGTCCTTTAGACTACTCTATTATAATTTTATAATACTCTTACATCCTTTTTGAAGCTTGAAAGCTTAATTCCCTATAGAAATTAATTGCACGGCCAGTACAAATCTCTTTTTGTGATCTGCATAAGAAATAAAATAATACAAATTTGGAAAGGCGTGAGTGTGCGTAAATTATGACCGATTTTTCATTTATGGATGAACCATTCCTTTAATTCTAAGGGTTAGAGAGAGGGCAGCAAATGGTCATGTAAAACTGAATTACAGCTACGTTTGATGCAAGAAACCTTGACTAATATAATTGGACTTCAGGGAAGAAACTTAAATACTACAGAAGCGATTGAGAGGAGACTAGCAGCACTTTGCTCAGCCCCTCCAAAATATCCTGTTGCTTTTCTTTCTTATTTGGATTTGTTTTTCCCTTTGGTATTGCTTAGTGATGCAGTGCTTGCACATTTTATTTTAGTTATTTTTTTTACCATTCAACTCCGAGATAGTTTGTGTGAAACGTTTCTGTTCTTAAAAGAGCATTTTATATTTTTCTTCTTTGTTCATTCCACTTCGAGGTCTGTCAACAGAGTGTGTTTCTCTTTATTTCAGAGCTGACGATTCAGCCGCAGCTCAATTCCACTCTCATTCCACCTCATGCCCGCGCAGGGAGTCTTTTAGACTACCCTATTGTAATTTTATAATACTTTTACATCCTTTTTGAAGCTTGAAAGCTTAATTCCCTATGGAAATTAATTGCACGGCCAGTACAAATCTCTTTTTGTAATCTGCATAAGAAATAAAATAATACAAATTTGGAAAGGCGTGAGTGTGCGTAAATTGACCGATTTTTCATTTATGGATGAACCATTTCTTTAATTCTAAGGGTTAGAGAGAGGGCAGCAAATGGTCATGTAAAACTAAATGATGCAAACTAAAATGATGCAAGAAACCTTGACTAATATAATTGGACTTCAGGGAAGAAACTTAAATACTACAGAAGCGATTGAGAGGAGACTAGCAGCACTTTGCTCAGCCCATCCAAAATATCCTGTTGCTTTTCTTTCTTATTTGGATTTGTTTTTCCCTTTGGTATTGCTTAGTGATGCAGTGCTTGCACATTTTATTTTAGTTATTTTTTTTACCATTCAACTCCGAGATAGTTTGTGTGAAACGTTTCTGTTCTTAAAAGAGCATTTTATATTTTTCTTCTTTGTTCATTCCACTTCGAGGTCTGTCAACAGAGTGTGTTTCTCTTTATTTCAGAGCTGACGATTCAGCCGCAGCTCAATTCCACTCTCATTCCACCTCATGCCCGCGCACAGACCGTAGCTTCCTCCAACGGTAATGCTGTTATCCTTCTCACTGATGCTCTGGGAGTGGGTGGGGTTAAGACAATATTAAATCAAAACTCACCTTAACTTAATGTTAATGAAGCCTTCCTGTTCTTTATAGTGCACAATTAATCAGTGCATTTATTCCATTTAGAAAAATGCTGCTTCTCATTATCTTTCACGGACAATAACTTTCCCTGCTTCTGAAAATACTTTTCTGATGTAGTAACGTCCTACTTGGGTATTAATTTAACTCCTGTTAAACTACCATTGTTTTAAAGTTTTTTTGTTTTTTTTGGAAAAAAGTCTCTTATGCTTACCAAGGCTGCATTAATGTAACCCAAAATACATTAAAACTGTAATATGTGAATATATTATTAACATTTAAAATAACTTTTTTTTTTCTATTTGAATGTATTTTAAAATGAAATGTATTCCTGTGATGCAAAGCTGAATTTTCTGTATCATTACTCAGTCTTCAGTGTCACATG